GGGGACATAAAATTGCAGAAAATAATGCAAATAATCAACCATATAATCAACAATTTATGCCATTAATTTCAAGGTTAGAAAAGACTTAAAATTTTTGGTCAAAAACGAAAACCCCCTCGAAAAAAGCATTTCTGGTCAGAATTTGGCTAAAATCACAGCCCCCTCTAGGGAAAAAAACCTTTCCAGAACACGTTTTCCACCCAAAATTCACTAGTCTTGGGCGAAAATCTGAGTTCTGGGCCAAAATCGACATTAAAAACGGGATTAAAATAAATAAAACCGAGCTACTAATCTAATTAACAACTTAAACCAGAAAATTAAGCCAAAATAAACCTTGAAAAACATGATTATAAAAATAAATGAGCGGGGCTCCGATACCGCTGTTGGGGTTTGGTGAGTCCGACTCACCGCGGAAACAAACCCCGACCCAAGGAACCACTCGCAATAATTAAAATCATAAAGCATAAATAAATAATCACTAAGAAAAGATAACGAATCTTACCCTCGAAGCGAGCTTCGCCCAAAAACCGGGGCTCTTACTTGAAAGCTACGAGCACGTCAAGCGCCGCGCCTCCAACGGTATCCACCCACAAAAAGGCGAACACAACTTTAAGGTCTACTACCTGGGGGTTAGAGAGGTCCGACCAAAACCCGAGTGTTATATGAGTTTAAGAGTTTTTCCAATATTATGGAATGCTCTTTTTAACTCCCACTTAAGCATCATTTCCTATAACCAAAGTTGGGTATTTATAGGGAATGATGGAGTATGAAAATCTCTCCCATCAATGTGGGACAATGAGATTTTTCTCATTTTATTTTAAAGCTAAAATAAAATTATTAAGCAAACTAGTAATAAATCAACAAGTGTCAAACATACATGAGAGAGTAGGTGAGGACCACTTGGAGATGGGGACCAAACTTGCTCTCCACTCTCTCCCTCACCTTGTGCCACATGGCAACCCACTTGCTCCCAACCTTCCCCTTATACACGGCCCTATGGCCCGAGCCAAGCCCGAGCCCGGCCCGCAGCCAACCCGCACCCAGCCCGCACCTGCTGTTGCTGTGGCGTGGTGCGGCTGCGGCTGCTGCCGTGGTGCGGCTACTGCCGTGGCGCGGCGCGGTTGCTGATGTGCCTAGCCGCGGCTGGCCGTGGCTGCAGCACGGTGTGCCGGCTCGTCTTGCCCCTAGCATTCGGATGCTCGGGGCACTCCGATGCTAGGGGTATTTTCGAGAATATTGTTGATTTATTATTATTTTGCGCGTCTCATCTTTTATTATTTAGACTCGACTTCCGACGATCGGTTTCGACGCTCTAAGCTCGAATTACCGACGTCTAATTATTTAACACTCGGGCGACGAATTAATTTCTTCCAAATTAATTCGTCGAGTTGGTTCGCATATATTTGCTTGGGTGTGACCCGAAGGGTTCAGTCAAGATTAAGCTGTAATATTAATTATATTAATATTACTGATCGGAAGCGGCCTCCACCCAGGCATTCCGATCACTTGACCTTACTGAATATATTAGCTTTCTAATAATTCTGAACCCGCTATCAGAATAATACACTTGTTCAAAGGACACTATTCCTTTCATGAGCCCCATTGGTTACTAGTCCCAAGCTTGGCTTGGGGGAGCTATTAGTTGGTGAGGTGAGGGAGTTGTGGTGTGCATATTATTTGCACAATGTGGGAATAAAAGAAGAGTTATTGTTCTTTGATTTTTGATTGGAAAATATTGATATTGTGTTTCAAAGTTGAAATTTCCAATATGGGTTAAAGAAAAAAAAAAAAGCAAAAGAAAAATTTTAATGCTCAAAATGTTCTATTTGAAGGTTGTTCAAAGAAAAAAAAAAAGAATGAGTTTAAAGTTTGTTTTTCACTCAAAGTTCTACATTGTCGTATTTTTATGAGTGATTATTGTAAGTGTTGGGATTGTTTATGATGATTAGAGTTGTATTTGGTGGTTTTTGTTGGAGTTGGTTATGTTGATGGAGATATATGATCATCGTTATTTTGATCATGGGTTTATTAGGTTTTGGCTCCCTTAATGCATAGCTTTTCTCTCACATAATCCCAAATTTATCCTACCTTTACCCTAGCCTTACATTACAAGCTTTAAAGATCTTCCGACCTTGTGCATGAAGTTATGTAAATGTGAAAGTGTTGTTTGTCAATGCAAGTTATGACTTGGCATATTTCGAGTCGACTAGTAGGATGAGCGTTCAATGTTTTTATACACACGAGAGTGTGAGTTGGGAGGGCATTGTTCACAATAAAGGGGTTGGTTGGAGAGCGATCAAGTACATCTTTTACTCGCCACATAAATGAGAGTTGAGTGTGTGAGCACTAGTCTTGAATTCTATATGCTCTTGTGGTTTGCTCTACTTGACAATTGTTGGGGAGGAAGGGTGATTAGATGAATAAGATTGATTGATGTTGAAGCATGTTCATTAGATTTGCCTTGAATCGTTGGTTTTTGATTTGATTATTGGGGTGAAGTATGTTTTATATGTTCATTGATGAGCTCTTTGCTTAGGGACAAGCAAAGGTTTGGCTTGGGGGAATTTGATATGTCCATTTTATATAGTGTTTTACCCCCGTCCCTTGGTCGTTATTAGTAGTGTTTTTGGCTCTTTCGAACCACTTTTATTACTAATTTGTGTGTTCTAGTGTTTTCGTAGTTTTAGTTGTATTTTACAGGAAATTGCACTCTTGGAGAATTTTCCCGGGCTTTATGGATCAACTACGGAAGCTAGAAGGACACGACCACTTTTGGAGCCTAGGATCGGTGAGAGCCGGTGATTAAAGGCTCAGTAATTGGGATCCCGAGGCATTTGGACCAAGTATTCAAGACCCGAGAGGAAATCCGGATTGGGCCGAGAAATCTAGCCCAATCGAAGTCCAAGCCTCAAGGGGAGCAAAGACCCGATCGGGCAACCTCTAGCCCGATCGGGCGCGGAAAACCATAGTGTTGTGCATGCTAAGGCGCGCCCGATCGTGCGAGCATCTAGCACGATCGGGCGATGCTTCTTGGGAAGAACGTGAAGAAAAAGGCGCGCCCGATCGGGTGGCCCTTTGCCCGATCGGGCGCGCGTTTTTAGAAGACCTGATTAAGTTTAGTTTTAATTGTTTTAGAAAACGTTTAAATACGATTTTGTACGGAATTTTTAGATTACCTTCTTTCTTAGACTTTCTCTCTCTACTTAGTATTTTTCTCTCTCTTAAATTCTCTCTCAACTTTTGTTCTTAATTATTCCATTAATTCCATAATTCTTTTTGGTAATAATTTCTTCCCTTTTAATTTCAGTTATTTTATTTGCTTCCTTGATTATGCTTTTACTTATTTACTTGATTGGTTTAGTTATGATGATGCGTGAGTAGTTTCATTCTAGGGTTTATGGGGATCCATAATTAATATGAAGGGATAGTTTGTTAATATTGATTATTGATATTGCATGATAACTTCTTATTGAATTGTTTTAATTCTTTGCAATTAGATTATGAATCGAGCAGATGTAATTTGATTGTGAATGTTTAGCTATATTGAATTGATGAATCGAGCAGATGTTAATTTAATATCAAAGGCTATTTTCAATAAGAACTTAGATCTAGTAAATTGCGAGAGCCTGTTAGATCTATGTTGATTAATAAATTGCGAGAGCCTGTTAATCATGTTATTTGTGCATTGTTAATTATTAATTACTTCGCTCTATCCCGGAATATTAATTGTTGGTGAACCAGCGACCCTAGGCTTCCTTATTATTGTTTCTTTTCTCCATAAACTTATTCTTCGTGGTATAGAATTTATTCCCAAAAATATTGGTTACTTAGATAATTTAGATTATAATAACTAATTAGGAATAAAAAGACTTGTTTCCCTGTGGAGTTCGACCCTACTTCCCTATCTACTTTAGTTAGAGGACTTAGGTTTTTACTTTTGATTAGGGGATACGACTTTACCTTGTCAAGTATCAATTACCACTTCTCTAAACTGAAGTTTGAATGTAACAAATAAAAGCCATTTAGGACAACATAAGAATACAGTTATATATACTTTTGTAAAATATATAGTATAGCAAAACTACCTATAGCTATTTTTTTCCCATCAGATTATTGTCTTGGTCATTGATTTACAAGCTATAAGTTTGGGTAATAATGTGTTTTGAGTACTCTTATATAGAGTAGTTTACTGTCTGGTTGAGTCGCTTTGGTTTAAAGAGCGACTCATGGGGGTGTTTTAAAATACATTGAAAATGTGTATAAGCAGGGTAAACTGAGTACTTACCGCAATTTTCTTTCGTAAGTAGTCAGGCCAATGAGCTTTTCGCAGTATTTAGCCAAAGCAATCAGTCTGAGAGTCCCAGTGTTGTTGCTCAACCCTGTGTGTAATTGAATATGAGACTATAAAATATTTTAGTTTTGGAGAGGGCTTGATTCAAATTGAGGCAGACCTGGTTGTAGCAATGCATTTGGCTCTAACTTTGTAAGCCTTAGGTCATGTTCTCATTTACTGAACTGAGCTGAGCTGAGCTGAACTGAACTGAACTGAGCTTAACTATACTGAAATGATTTGAACCGAGGGACTTTTTTCAATTGTTGAACTGAACTGAGCTGAATTAAATTGTTTATGAGAGAAGGAAATTAGGAATCGAATTGAATAGAACTGAAGTGATACTACAACAAATCATCACTTGTGCCACGAATTATGCCACTGGAATTCCAAATTCGTGGCATAATTTCATCTAGCCACGGGAAAAATGAACTATAATACAATACCTAAATAAGAGGATTAATTTATGCCACGGACAATTATTTTCCCGTGGCAATTATCTCACTTGTGCCACGGATAGCGCTTTTCTCATGGCAAACTTTACATTTGTGCCACGAGTAGCTCTTTTCCCGTGGCAAACTTTACTTATGTGTTACGAATAGTTTTTTCCCATGATAAGCGTACACTTATGTGATTTTTTTTTTTTTTTCAAACAATGACTACAAGTGATATCACTAACCACTAGTTTATTTTTTTTTTTTTTTATTTTTTTTTTTTTTTTGAAAGATCACTAATCACTAGTTGAAAAAACTTAAATGACACCAAAGCAATGCATTAGTTTTCCATTCTTTTTGTCATCATCCAATTCAATTTCACAATCTAGGGTTTTATCCTTAATTTTATTCTCAAACACTCATTTTAGGGTTCACCTAAACGCATATAGTGAACTATTGTTTATAGTTACTGAACTCGATTTTGTTGCTATGGAATTATACTAATAGAAAAAAGAAAAAAGACTTATAGAGAAAGACACCAATTTTTAGTGGATGCGTAGACCGAAAAAAACCCCAATAAAATGTGGTTAATAAATAAAAATCGGATTAGACATAAATAATCCGTTAAATGAAGATCGGTGCCCAAAAAATTCAATGGTAGCGTTTTTCATTTGATCGGTTTTTTGATTTTGCATTTGATTTTGATTAGTAGTATTATTTTTATTCCTTTTTTTTTAGTCATTCATTCTTACCCCAATAGTTCAATACGGCAATACTACCTACCTATGGCTATTACATAATTTTTTTTTACCGAAGTAGTGACTATGCGGTAAATTTTTTTATTTTTATTTTTATTGAAGAAAATGAGGTAAATGGTAATACCCACTTATGCAGTTATGCGTATGCTTCATCTTTCTCCTCTCAAAATCACTGTATTATATCTCTCGTAAAAAGAAAAAAAAAAAAAAAAAAAAAAAGAAAAAACACCTCTTGTACTTCATCTCTCTCATCTCAAAGTTTTTCAAGTACTCAATGACTCCATCTTCCTCATCACCTCCACGACTTCCTCACCTCCATGCCTGATTGCCTTCCTCCATTTCACGGCCTTTGACACATCATCCTCGACCATCGTCTGCAAGTCCTGGATTAAATTTTTGCGATTAATAAGGTAGAATGCGAATGAAATTTCCTCAAGATCGAAAATATGCAGCCTTAATTCGAGGAAAATCGAAAATTCCAGACTGAATTTCGAACCAATTTCAGGGGTTTCATGCCATAATTCAAGCAAAAAAAAATTCGAATCAAATTCAAGTTAGGGTTTCTGGTTTATTTAGCTTTGTGTTTTTTCGGGGCTTTTTTTAGTCCAATTATTCATGTTAAATGCTTTGATTTCTCGGGGTTAAATTGATGCAAATTGTTCAGCGGTTAATTTTGATGAATCCTGTTTCCTCCAAAATTCTATTTTTTTCTGAGTAAATAGGTGAAACAGCTTTTGAATTTTGTTTATATATATAAATTTGCTAACTTTGTGTTTCATTTTGTATGATTTGTGTTTGAGTTTATTTCAATTTAGTTTTGCGTGATTGAACTTGCAATTCTATTTTAAAGGTGAAATTCCCTTTTTTCTTCTTTTAATTGGGTTGTCTACATCAAAAACAGTTTCATCAACTATTCAACTGGTGTGTCAATGTTGCCACCCTCTGAGAACTTCTGAACTGTTAATTCTTTCAACTCCTTAAGTCCCTGTTAGGAGTTTTGAGTTCAACATAAAGGAAGCAACACTATAATCCGTATTAGTAATACTAATTACAAATTTAGGTCAGCTATTTTACCAGAGAATATGGTATCTGATAGACAAGAAGCGTCTGCATATCTTGGTAAGCGTCTTGAATGTTTCTGTATAACTGACCTAAGTTTGAATTCTTCTGTATGCTATCTCTTTATGCTGCTACAAGCTTGTTCCTTATAAGCTGTTTCAAAAGCCATTAAATCATCTTAGAATCGCATCTCTTAGATTTGAAAATCTACTTGTATAAATGTGGGAGTTCTACTCATGCATGAGAATATGAGATGCTTGTTGATTTCAGGTTCAAAATTAACTGAGGTTTCTGCATAACAGTTGTTTTTGGTTCCCAATATTTGGGAAACAAATTAAGCCATTTACATTTATAACAATATATAGTCACGTTAATAAGGTACCCTGTGAATGCCCAACTTGAAGTGATTCTAACTAGTCCTGTATGCTTTATTTGAAAAAAATAAATAAATTATATAGCAGCCTGTCATTGTATTTAGGCCCATTTTTATTATCCTGCACTCATGCTAGTCCATATTTCCAGCTTCAGTAGGCAATGGTGTTGATCGATGGTCACAAAGAAAATGCTTTTCATATAAACAGGTTTCAAATATTGTTTGTAGTTGTATCACTATTAGCCAAGTCATGAGTGAATGATACCCGGTGTTTGAGAGAAGCCAAGCTTCTTGTATGCATGGGAGATTGAGGAACGACTCCATTTGAGGGGGGTATACCTATAAGACCACAAAATATGACCTGTGGAATGTCAATTTGACAAATAAAAATAAGCTTTATAAAACTTTAAACTAAAGTAGAAAGTCAAATCTTACTTCAAACATCATGAAGAAATTAGATTAAATCCTGGGATAGAATGCTTACCAGAAAACCAAGTAGAATACACTATAAACTCCTTGATGATAGTCCAATTTGAATAAGCACCAGGAGACCATGGATTTGGACTGAAAAGACGCCTAGGAATCCCATCTGGAACATTATGAGTTAGTATTTATTTTTTTTTAGGTACTTTCACAATTCGTATCTTTATAAAATCTAAATTGTTTTTTTTTTTTAATAAATTTTGTTATTTTTTTTTAATCAAATTATCTATGTTTCCTGAATTTGGTGATGGATGTTTGTTATATGTATATCTGCATTTTGAATATAATTTATGGTCATATGTGATATAAGTGGTTGTTGATGAGCAATTGATGGTAGAAATTGGTGCCTTCACATTTACACTTTGCGAGTTTTTAACCTTTGTTGATATAATGTGTTCTGAAACAAATTAAATTGTGGTGAAGGGTGAATATTGACAATCACCATTATCCTTGCCAATGCAACATATGCTAAATCGCGTGATTGATGATTTGCGATTTTAGTTCAACCGATTATTACAATGAAATTGTTTGATGAGAAAAAAGTTAATTGAGAGGGGATGTGAACTTATTATTAATCTTGCTCCTTTTAAATTTATCAGGGACTGTAGCAGCCTCTGTGACTCCTCAACCCCTTGCTCTGAAAAGGAACTCTCTCTTCCAAAGAGGCTTGCAGCCACATAACTATAGTCTTCCAGTAGTGCTCCAAAAAGGGTTATCCATAGTATGTGCTTTAAAATCAATAATGAATTAAATTAAAAAAAAATTCTTCTTTTTTTTAGGGTGAGATTTTAGATAGGGTGTGTAGTTTGCTACGACTAATCAAGCAAAGAAAACCATGAAATTTGCTCTGTTGTGTCTTTGACATGAATTTCTGTCATATTTTCTGCTCTTTGCGTGCTCTGATTGTACCTTTTGGTTGTACATGCAGGCACTTGTTTCAGCAGCAACTAGTGGGAGTAAAAATATTATCTTGGACTGATAATGGTCCTCATGAGAGGTGGAAGAAAGAATGTTCTTGTGGATGTGCTGGAATCTTTAATGCTCCTGTTGCTCTATCACTATTTGCCAAAATATTTGAAGAGGTATGCATTCATAACAGAAGTAGAAGTGGCTTAGGATGGTCAGAGAAAGCAAAATGTTTTAGATGCTCGAGGGTTTGCCACTGTTGCTGTATTTGGGCGCTGTTGCTGCCGCTACAACTACTGTTGGAACATTGCTATTGCTTCTGCTTCTGTCTTGTTGATTATTACTGCTTCAATTGTAGTGTACTCTTAAACATTTTTTTTTTTCATTTTTTTGGATGAACAGTGTATATTTACAAGCTATTAATGAAAATATCTAAGTTTTATGTGTATATATGCACTAAGTCAGTTGATCAATTTGGGTGAACAAATGCAAAATCGGTGCCTAATTGCTATTTTCTACTAGTGTTAGTAGCCACAGTAAAATTTATTGAATCATAGCTTATTAGCGAAGGTAGTATTTTTGGCAAACAAGCTATTTAGCCACTGTAATATTTGTGGCAATGATATTTATTAGCCACTGTAGAATTTGTGGCAAATAATTTATTAGCCACATTAATATTTGTGGCAATGGATTTATTTGCCACGTGAATACTCGTGGCACAAAATAAAACTTAAATAAATTACAAAATATATTATAACATTGATAAAGGACCCACGCTTTTTGTCAAATGAGACTCAAAGTTGAGTATCTAAACTTAACAACTTTATTTTGGAGTTACTAAGTTTAGATACCAACTTATAAACTTATTGATGTCCTTTGCAAAAAATACTCTCTCTCCTAAAAAAAATTGTCAAGTCTCACCATCGGAGATGATCTTAGAATATGGATTTGGTGGGCTATAGATTGAAAAGGGCATCAGTATACTTTAGAGAGTCTCATTATTGGGAAATTAGACTTCACATGAGTTGCTAAATTGAGAAGTGGATTGGGTATTAGTGTATCATCATTGGAGGTTATTTAACAACTCTTTGTATTTCAATACTCAAAATTGCTGGGTTTCACCAATAGAGATGGTCTTACGCATCATTCATAAATACTCCCTCCGTTTTTAATTACTTGCTCCACTCTCCATTTGCGGTCGTTTTTAAATACTTGCTTCATTTCCTTATTTGGAAAGTTTATACAATATTTAATTCAATTCTCTAAAATACAACATAAATCATATTTTATTAATTTTATATTCTCTCTCCTCTAATTCTCTCCGCTACTTTTGCTTTTTACAATTTTTTATTCTTCCATCTACCCCACTACCTCTATATTTTATTACTTTCTCCAATTTCTCCTAAAACTCTGTGAATGGAGAAATGGAGTAAGTATTTAAAAACGAAGGGAGTATAAAATTACAAATTCTTAAATGAACTTGGTTCACATTAATTATTGTGGACCACTTATATTAGAGAAACTATGGTTGTTTTATTAATAAAAAAAAAGGTCACTATAATAAAAATAAGGTCACTATGATGATATAAAAGTTATTTTGGTAATATATGGTTGTTTTATTAATTCTTTTAATGAAATATTTTTATAACTGGTCAATATGAATAATATAGTCACTATGTTAAAATTAGGGTCATAACGTCGTATTCAAGTTTACAATAATGTTAAACATTATACAAATTTAATATGGTTACTGATTAGGGGATTTTGCTCCCACCAATTGGAATGCGCCACGTGGGCCAATCAGGTCCTGCCAAGTGTCCCCCAGTTGGAACTGTCAGAGTTTACCACGTGGCACACGCCTATTTGTCCACCCTGGACCTATTATGTCATGACACGTGGCATCCTCCATGCCTAATGGAGAAACCGGCCACCTAGGCCCAACTTCCAAGGGAAGCCCAATCAGCCCTAGGTTAACCTAAACCTAGGATTGGCACGTTTCCCAAGGTTATAAATACCTCCATTAATCCTCATTAAGGGGGATTACGCACATTAAACACTCTCACCTGGAGAGACCCAATCACTTTTATTTCCGCATTAATTACTCCTTAATCAAGTACTAACTTGACCGTCGGAGGCGGATCTCCAATCATCCGGAGCATCCGTTCTTTTTGCAGGTACAGGCGTCCGGTTCCAGTCTCGGAATTGTAACTCTCCAGCAGGACATTAGAAAACCCCGAAACATCTTGGCGCCGTCTGTGGGGAGAGTACTTCCGAGATGGCATCCACGTCTGTACCGACTTCTGAAGAGAAGCGTCCCCTAGACGACCCTCAAGTTCAGCCGGACCATGATACTGAGGAAGAATTTGAAGTTGAAGCTCACACAGCTTCAGACGGGACCCTAAGGGCCCGACGCACCCGTCATTCCGAAAGGAGGGAACGGGAGCATCTTCAAACTAGACTCAGTGATCCAGCCGGCGCACCGCCTGTTCAGCAGCAGCCGACTGATGGGTCTGCTCCCATTACAAGAAACGAACTCATGACCTTCATGAGGGGCTTCAAGGGAGAGATTCAAGAGTTGCTCAACAAGAAACCTGCTCTGGCCAAGGAGCAGTCAGCTAAGAAACCTTCCATTTCAGGGAAGAGGAAGCCAGTTCAAGGGCGAGAGGCGACCCCTCATCCTAACTCTAGGAAGTGGGAGCCGCCTGCCCTTGATTTCACAAAGTACCGCTTTCCTACTCCAGGAAAGAGGAAACCTGTTCGTCATATTCAGGCGGACGGGTCGAAGAAAACATACACAGATGCTCGGCTATTGCTAGAACAGAAGAAGAATGACCGATCGTCAGAGTCGGCCTCTACTTCAGACTTCCAAGACAGTCTACGCAATACCTCGATGAAGTATACTCAGTCGTATCATGAGAGTCAGTCAGGAGGCACCTCTCGTCAGTCCGGCTTTCATAGTGACCAGGCGGTACCAAACTTACCATTTGTACCGCAACAACAATATTTTTTGCAGCCACCTCTGTTTGGTGGGCGTGCAGCAAAGAATGTCCAACCTATGGACTGGCAGCTACGGTTGCTTAGACTTCGGGAACAGCCGTCGGCCTTCTCCAAGGAAATTGCTGAAGCCGCTCAGCCGGCCAAAGTGAAAAATGTATTAGTAGGCGCCTATGACGGCACTACTAACCCAGAAGACCATTTGATGGCATTCACCAACCTGATGTACCTTCAAGGGTTGGATGATCCCACTTGGTGCAAGTGTTTCCCAGCGACTCTCAAAGGAATCGCACAACAATGGTTCGGCAACCTGCCGACTGGTTGTGTGAATAACTTCAGGACGCTTGCTTACTTATTCACCTCCAACTTTGCCATGAACATACCTGCGAAGAAGACGACCCTTGATTTAGGAACGATTCAGCAGGGCGAGAAGGAGGGGCTTCGTTCTTACATCAGGCGGTTTAACCTGATGAGAATACAGATTCAAGGGTTACCGGATGAGGTAGCCTATACTGACTTTTTAGGCCTCAAAGACGGATCGACATTCAAATTTGATTTGGTCCGAAAGAGGGTGGCGACTCTTCAAGAGGCCTTGATTGAAGCGGAAGCCTATATACATGCGACTGATCTTTGTAGTACAAAACAGTCGGACGGGAAAAGGTTCGACAAAAAAGAAGGACGACAGAAACAGTTGTCGAACAAAGATGAGAAGAAAAGAAAAGAGGTCTGGGCGGCTGATTCCTCTAAACACCCGGCCCTGAAGAAGAAAAAAGAATTCAAACCATACTCCCCAAAGTATGCGTTTAACAAGGATAGCCAAGCTATCCTAAAGGAAATCAAGGGACGGATCTCAATTGAGAAGCCGGTCCCCATGAAGGGTTCTGCAAGAAACCGGAACCAAGAAAAATTCTGTGATTATCATGAAGATGTTGGTCATCACACCAACGAATGCATCAGTCTCATGCGGTATCTGGACCGCCTGGCTGAGCAAGGCGATCTTGACACTTATGTCAAGAAATCTACGGGGAACACTTCCTCGAAAAAGCAGTCGGCCAAAAAAAGTCAACATGCCGACAGCTCTGATACAGATGATGCAGTCGTCTACACCATTGCAGGCGGCTTCGCAGGAGGCGGTCCCACTATTAGGGGCAACAAAGACAATATCAGGCGGTTAGATGTAAATTCCGTTCACCAAGAACGGCCTTCCAAATATTCATTTCCTGAGATTGTCATCACTGAAGAAGATCTAGGAGGGGTAAGAGGGCCGCATGATGATCCTATCGTCATTGAATGTAAAGTGGCCAACCAGAGAGTTGGCCGAATCCTCATAGATACCGGAAGCTCCTCAGATCTCATCAGTAGCAAATGTCTGTCGAAACTAAAATATCAGACTGATTGCATACATCCGGCCTCCCACCCTTTAGTAGGGTTTGGAGGAGGAGGAGTCCACCCACTGGGACGAGTGGATTTACCCATCCGCCTGGGCGAAAAAGGGGAAGGACGACACATGGTAGTCCGGTTCCTGGTAGTAGAAGAACTCTCGGCCTACAACATGATTCTGGGTCGACCAACCCTGAATAATTCCAAGGCTGTTATAATCCCATCTCTTATGTTGCTCAAGTTTGAGAGGGATAATGGAACAGTCGGGTCCCTAAGGGGAGATCAGAGGATGGCCCGAGAGTGCTATCTCTCGGATCTCAAGCCCACTGTTATGGCCGCTGGGTCAAGTGGTGGAAAAGCAGACCTTGACAATGTCAAGGAGAGTGCGCCTGTTCAAGAAGCAGGCGGCAAGAAGAGAAAGGCAGCCCAGACGGGGGCCGCAAGAAAGGACAGAAAATAGAAATCATTGGTAGAGGAGCGGTCGGATGAATTTCGCCCTCAGCCGGCTGGTGAGCATACGGACTTGATCTTAGACGACTCACGTCCTGAGCGAACAGTCAAAGTTGGGACGACTGCTCTGAGAGTCCTGGGTGACGATTTTCACAAACTATTGAAAGAATACAAGGACATCTTTGCATTCGAAGTCCTGACCTGGCGGTACATAAACTGGCTGTGGATCCGAAAAAGAAGCTGGTAAGGCAGAAGAAACGGAACCATGGCGAAGAAAGAAGTCAGGCGGCAGCCGCCAAAGTTAAAAAATTACTTGATGCAGGGTTCATTCGGCAATGTTACTTCCCAGACTGGGTTGCAAATGTGGTGCTTGTTAAAAAGCCGAATGGCACCTGGCGAATGTGTGTAGACTACACAGACTTAAACAAGGCATGCCCCAAAGACAGTTACCCTCTGCCTAAAATTGATAACCTGGTCGACTCAACAGCCGGCCATGCTTTGATGAGCTTTATGGACGTCTACTCTGGTTTCCATCAAATTCCTCTATGGAAGAAAGATCAGGAGAAGACGGCCTTCGTCACTGATCAAGGGTTATACTGTTACACGGTCATGTCGTTCGGTCTTAA